TAAATATTTCATTTAGATATTTTTTTTTTATTGAATTTTCTATGTTAATTATTTTTTATATCGAATTTTCTCTAACCTCAATTTAACCTAATCTAACTTATTAACGAAAATAGTCAAGGACTTGAAAAATGATTTTGAACACTAACAAGCCACCTACACATAGAAATTGAATCCCCTTTACGCGATCCACCATTTAATCTAACCTAACCTAAAATACACGAATCTCGAACAATACGTCGTAAGCACGATACACGGCAGCTTAAACCCGCGACAATATAACACGATCGTATGGTGACGGTGAATGCGCTTTTTAGTCCGCTTCCATTCACAGTTTGTCACCGTGGGTGAATACGCGCGCGCGTGTCTGATGCACCGGTGCATACACAAGTGAATGAAGAAAATGACATCTTACGATCGTCGTTCACACCTCCATTATTGCGCGCGAGGCCGGGTTCCTCTCTCGTAGGACAATCATGCATTTACCAGCCTGTAATCTCTGCATCCCTCTCTCCGCCCGGCGAAATTGCGTATTCGCAAAGAGACGTGGCACGCAATGGGAGATGATGCACCTTGACTTGATTCTATCCTCATAGCATGGTTCCCCCTTGTGCCTGGCTACTTTATTCACTGTTAGTTGCGTTAAATCACGCTCGAACAGACCGCCTTACAATCACCATATATTCGGGGATTATTATTTAATCGTAAAAAGGATCTGAGATCGTGAGAATAATTTCAATATGTAGGGATGAAATTTGAAGCGAATTGCTAACCTAACCTTCATCGATGAAAAATCACAAGTAATTTTTGCATATTTTTGACATTTGTTGACTTTTATTTTCGCAAGAGTTGGTAATATAATATGCTTCGTGAATTCGCGAGATTTTTTGTTTCATATTCGTTCATATTCATCACTGTAAAAATGGTAATATAAATGTTGAATTTAAAAAAATAACTATATAGTATAAGATTGATAATTAAAGGTCAACACGTGCACGCTTTTACGCTAAATGCGACTTGACCGAGGAGTTACCCTTTAGCCAATATGCACGACTCGTCGAAGCAATTTCACTGATCCTAGTGTATTAGGCGTGCATGAGTTTTCACGTATACGTAATCTGTCGCGTCGACTTGCGCCAAGTGGCTGCGAGTAGACGTGCAGCCATTTATTAGGCTCTCCTATTATCGGTTCTCGTTGCCCTATTCATCGTGATCCTGTACACGTACATAATACACCTTTGCCTAAAGTAACTCGAGAGTCTCTCTCGTATCTGGAACGGGGAGTCGAATATTAAATTCTACAGAATAGGTTCACTTCGTCCACCTTTTTTCAAATATTCATGGAGACTCGTATTCTCGGTTACTTTATACGGTACACATGATGAAAACGCGTACTGTTCCTTTTACGCCGATTACAATGGCAATTATTGATTTTACCTACGGCTGCACTGCGATATTCTCAGTTATTTTACCGAAATATTCGGTATTGTATTCTACAGTAACGAATATTACTCCACGTAGTGGAGTTCAGTTTCTACAGGCTTTGCACATCGATATTAACGTTTCGATTGCGATTGCATCATTGGTATGTAAAAATCGAATTACCGCTGGAGGGAGAGAGATCGGACGGTACACGTGACTAAAAGTCGTTCCCCTTTTTCTCGCTTCCGAGACGTCCCTCTAATTCACATAGCCCAATCTCGATCGAGAATTTCTCGATACACCGGTTTTCTGCCTGTTTCCCGATCACTGTGAAAAATTTAGAAAGTTACAATCCATAAGAAACTTACTGTGCTCAAATGAGAAAACTATTCTCTCTAAGCTCGAAGGAAAATTCGAGAACTGCGTAAATCGATATTTTCGATGAGTCACATTAGCACGGTGTCACGCCCGATAACAAAGTAATTCGAGAAATTCGCACGAACCGTGTATTACATCCGTTACGAACTATTGTCTCTCATGGCGTACTTACATTAAAACGCATGAGGGCGTCACATGAAACGTCACATACGTTTCGAGCAAAGCCGAAAATTGCAACGATTCAACACCACTCTAACGTGTATACACAGGATACATCCTGTGTGTATACGTGTGATTTGTGTGCGAGCAAATGGATGCGTGCGTATACGTGATTTTCCACGCATACGTAACACGGAGGCTGCAAACCGGTGTAGGTGTAGGTGCGTGCTATCGACCGGGTATCCTTCTGTGCTGGACGCCGGTGTGCCCCACCCTGAAGTGAGTAGCGACCGACCGAGAGGGCGATACGTTACTGGAGAGACGAGGACGGCTAACTTCGCGAGGTACGTGCACGAGAAAAGGACGAAGTATCGCGGCAAGGCGAGCGCGAGAGATGCACCGTGCGAGAACAAAAGGGATAGAGGCGCGCCCGTAGAACCGGGGAAAAAACAGAGATGGCTTTAGGAGAGGAAAATAAGAGTGGAACCGAACGGATCCGGTGGGAAAAAGCGAGAAACAGGGGGGAAAGAGAGAGCGAGAGTTGGCGAAAAGGGGGAAAGTCGTTTAAGGGGAGACAAGGAGCGAAGTAATGACAGAGTGACAGGAGTAAAAAGAGAGAGGTGAACGGGTGATCTGTACGGATGAAGAAAGGGACGGAGAGTCACGGAGCAAGAGAGACATACGGTCTGGAAAGGATAGGGGGGGGGGGGAGAGAGAGACAGACAGAGAGGGAGCGAGACAGAGAGAGATCACGGCACGCAGAAATGCCTCCTGCTTAGTGATAGCGTAGAGACTGTAGTGTTCACATCACACGCGACACCGAATATTTTTCGCACGTTTAACGCGCGCCTGACAAGAGGATCATTCGATTCCGCGACACGATAATTGGTTACGTTAAGGCGCGCACACACATTTAGGTATATATACGTAATATATATATACGGTCATCTCGACAAATCGCACACATATACATAGGCACGTACGCACAGGACATAACGTTAGGAACAGACTGTCTCGCGAAGGACTCACGAGATAAAAGTAAGAACCAATAGGAATTTTTCTCGCGTGAAAATTCTAATTATTTCCGGGAGCAACGTTCAACGCACATTCCAACGACTGTGACCACTTTTTCAAGAGTGTTTTTTACGAGGATTTTTTTGCACCGAAACGCACACCCCGATCGTCCGGATTCTCTTTCCTTCTTTCCAGACGGTAAGTAAGTATATACTTACTGGTTGCACTGGCTCTGATTCTTCGAAATATTCCGATTCTAACCGCATAACTTTACATTTCGATTCTACGTCGTTTCTTACCGCGTTTTTCCCCTCGGTTCAATTTTTTTTTCGAAAGATCAAAAACCTTGTTTCGTCTGAAAGTCTGGGAGAATTTTCTCGCGCCGCGTACTACTCGATATCGATTGACGGGCCGCCAGGGTTTCCCGGGACGTGTACAGTTCGCTTTCGTTTTCACCCGCGACCACCAAAGACACACCAATTACAGTAATATACCTGTCACGTTGATCGCGATTCGTAAATGCGTTCTTTAAATTTTCATTTACCACGATTCTCAAATATTTCTCCCCACTCTCACGATTTTTCTTTCGAGAAGCGGACACACGGATCGACGAGATAGATCAGGTCGAGGATCTCCATCGTGCCAACGTAAATAATCAATTTTCCAGTCGACCAGTGCCTGGCGTGCGATTTTGTCAGCGCCTTCGGTACTACGCTAGTCGGCCAGTGCGACCGGAACTGCACCGTTCAAGAATAGTTACAGAATTTAAATATCCATCGAATTAAGCATGCATAACTATTACCAACTTACCAATCACAAATTTACAATTCTCTAGCTAAACTGACCGGTGCATTTTCAATAAAAAAAA